CCGGAGGTGTTGACGGCGTGAGCTCAACAGAAGTCACTGTGTTCTTCAATCCCATTCGTTTGACTCCATTTCTTCACTTCCATCAACTCGAAATCATCCATCTCCTCTTCTATCAACCCAATCCATATACACCATCACCACCGTCTTCTCCTTGCCGGCGCACAGAACCAGTGAGGACCACTTTCTGTCATCTCCTCCATGGCAGACCGCAACAGAGTTTTGATAACAGCAATTTTGATGACAAACCGTGGCTAGTTTCATAATTCTCTAATTCAACAACAATGGCAGGAGCTCGGATCATCAAAGGGGAGTTTTAGTTACTTTAATTTTCTGTCCAATAATTGTTTAACAATTTCTAGGTCTTAGGATAGTTTTTCTATATTCAATATTGTGAGTTGTCTGGTCAGAGTCATGTCCATGCTAGCTACTTATCGCTCGCCTCGTCCCTCACCTGAAGGCTGGAAAATATAAGCGCCCTCTGTTTTTCAACATCCTACGTGTCACCTTCCCATTCGTTTCCATTTCTTTGTCTCTTTCTAGGGTCCCCACAATTTCCTGAATCCGAACTAGTCCGAGGAAAAAAGCTTCTCCACTCGCAGATATTTCACGTGACAACCACTTGCGGTTTTTCAATTGTTCTGTCTTAAAATTTGAGAATTTTATAGTTTTATAGCCATTATATATATATATATGTACACACTAATAGATAGAGAGTAAAATAATATCACTCTAGTCCTAAAATAAGTCATTTGTGGGGAAAAAATTTGGTCCTTAATCTAAATCATTTGTTATATATCTTAATATGTTTAAGATTTGTTTTCAATTTCACCTTTATTTAATTCTCACTTAAAAGAGATAAAAAAGAGATAAGAATGATTTCTAAATATAAATAGACAAAATAAATTTAATAAAAATTAAATTTTTTATTAATTTAATGTATTTCCTAGTACGTAAAAATGTGTTACAACTTGCAAATGACTTGTATTAAATGCCACTGTAGAATAGTCATGTTAAACATTTAACAATGTGACTTATGAATGGAATCAACCAAAATTCCTCTCTCTCTTGTAATTAGAAGTAGAGGAATACCACTCTGGTATTTATTATTTGTTACTTGTAAGTTTTTATCACATATCAAAGAAAGTATTAAATAGATAAAATCTTCTACTTTTGTACTAATATATTTTCTTTCACTCATTTCCTTTTTCTTCACCTTTACTATAATTAATCGGAACAGAATTGGAAATAAGTATTAAAAAAGGTACAGGTGACAAATAAAAATGACCAAAATCCCTTACTACAAATGACAAATAATAATAACCAGAGTGGTACATCATAAGATAAAACGTTTAAAATACGAGTTCAATAAGAGTGTCTCATGGGGAGAAGCCTATGAAAAACAAGAATATATTAAGGATCAACGCACTAATCTTATTTTCTAGGTGCATACAGCATTCTACTCTTTTGTACCATACATCTAACACCTAATCTTATTTTTCTGGTACGTCCAGCACCCTGATATTATTTTTTTTTAGTTATAGCCAACATCCCAATTAGATCAGAGTGCTAGATGTACCAAAAAAAATAATATTTGGATGTTAGATGCATCATACAATAGATCAGGATGCTGGGTGCACCTCAAAAATAAGGTCAGGGTACTGAATGCACCTCTATTCAAATACTAAAAACGTTTTTTAGGTTAAAAATAATACTCATATGATCCTATTTATAGGGCAGCAAGAAAAATTTTATGTTTTTCTTCATTCTATTTATAAGCCACATCAATAATTTTAGTATGAATGTATCATTTTGTGCTTCATTTATCGTTAGTTTTGTTATGAAAAGTATAAATATTAAACATGATTAAAGTTAAAAAAATTGTTATATTTTTTTTGGTAAAAGAAAAATTGTTTTATTTTAATACTGGAGTAACTATTGCTGTTTAAAATATTTCTTAATCTACTCATGATACATTAGAAATGCCCTAAAAATACCACAAGAAAAACAGGAACCGAGGCGGACAAAACAAAACCCACTTGAGCTTTGCAAATAGAAGTATTCAAAGTGCATCATTCATTAAAAGGGGAAAAAAGCCTCTCTCATTAGGACCTTCTCTAACAAACCTGTCTTCTCCTTCTCCTTCTTCTTCTGTTTCTTCGTCTTCTTACTCTTACAACTGTTCTGTGAGTACCATCGACCATATATGCACTCTTTATTACGATCTTTCTTTTTTTTGGCTTTTTCCTTTTTAAGTAATATCTTTGGTTTTGGAACATATTATATATATTCCGATTCCTTTGAGAATGGTGTTTTTGTTTGAGATTTTTTTTTTCTGATGAATTTTGTGTGGTTGATCTGGAAGGGGAAGTATAGAAGAAACCCTAGAGGAATGGGGAAAGCCAAGATTGCGATTGAGAGGATTGACAATTCAACCAACAGACAAGTCACTTTCTCAAAGAGACGAAGTGGTCTGTTCAAGAAAGCAAGAGAGCTTGCGATCCTCTGTGACGCACAGGTTGGTGTTATTGTGTTCTCCAGCACCCACAAGCTCTATGAATATGGAAGCTCCAGGTTCCTCTTTCTTCTCCCAGCTTAATTATCTTCGATTATATGCCTTTAGATCTTGTTTCTTTCTGAGATAATTAAACTTTCGTGAATGTGATGATATTCTGTCAGATACTGTGTGTGGTTGTTCGTACTCGATGAAGTTAACCTTTTTTATTTGTGTATTTTCCCACTTTCATATATTCAAGTGTGTATCATGAGATCTTGTAATTGATGCTTTAGTTTTCTCTGTTTTTTTCCTCCCTTTTTCTCCTCATATATCCTTGCTTGTGTGTGTGTGTGTGTGTGTGATCAACATCCATGCATTTGCGTTTGAATGGTGTTATTTTCAGAATCCCTTGTCTGAATTGTGATGTTACCAGTAACAGACGCTTGATTTTCTCCTACCTTTGTTCTTTCTATTGTGGGTCTCCTTTAGTTTAAGACATTATGTAAGATAACTCGTGTAAATTATTTATATATATACTAGCTCCTGTCCTAATTATATATTTTAGGACAGGAGCTAGTATATATATAGACATACTTATAGGTAAATTAGTGAGAACAAACTTCACTTGGCTTCCTGTAAAATAACTATCCAAATTAATCCCTCACCAGACTGGCAAACTTTTCTGGTTAAATTGATCTGCACTGCCATGGCGCACTTGTAGCTAGCTAGCTTTCATATATACATGTATAGATCCACAAAGCTACAAATACATGCACACATAAAAAGATATCTCTTTTATATCTATATAAGGAAAATTAACCATTTGGTTCTTATAGTTAACTTGATTAGAACTCGCTGAATTTTTACTTGATGCAACTCATTTTTATTAATGTGGGTATGTGTGTGTGTATCAACCTAAGGTTGGTTTTAAATTGAAACATGGTTTGAGATATGAGTGAGTTCAATAAAACGTGTGGTCCGCTGTTCTGAAAGGATATGCAATATTAGTTGTAGTACAAACAAGTTTTGCATAAAGATGAGGAATCTAGTATAAATGTAAAATTATAGTACATCTAGAAAGTCAATAAAGCCGTATTTATTTATATAATAAGACGCATATATATATATATATATATATATGTATATAGTATAGAGACCTTATTATCTTTTAAGTTAAAAAAAAAAAGAAGAATGAAACGTAACCTTTAAATTCAAATGAAATATGATGTAATTCTAAAATTATGTATATCCAAGACAGCCAATTGTTGCTTACAGTTAGATACATTTCTGTGTATTGCGTAATTTAATGAATGAGTCATGCATGCATATTATTCATGGCTTGTGCATAATGCAACTCTTATATTAAGGACAGAAGATAATATTTGCAAAGACTCTGTATCATTTGATTTGTTCACAAACGTAATGTATATTGACAAAAACTTAATTTAATTTTCATTTGGTTGATTGAATTCTTTGCTTAATATTGGCAGCCTGAAGTCAATTATTGAGCGATACACTAAGCAAATAGAGGAACATCATCATCCACTCATGAATTCCGACTCAGAAGCCAAGGTACAAGACCAAATGCTGTTCCTCAAATATTTTTCTCCCTCTCTTGTTCTCCAATGCCCTAAAGCCAACTTCAATTATATTCCCAAATGTTGATATCTCACGGCGATCAAATAGTGTAATTTTCAATTTTTTAATAGCTTTTAAAAAAATGCATAATTTTAGAGTATTTATAAGTCCTGTGCAAGTAATGATATCCATAAATCATATATAATTGCGAATGTAAGTGTGGTTGTATATTCTTGCACCTGTCAAGGGAAAATGGGAGAGGAGGTGAAGAACCGCAGTCCATATGTTGATTCTACATACATTGCACATCTGTAGTTATAGGCCTTACTTATATACTGCCTTTAGTCTTTAATATAAGAGCTAGACAATTAATATGGGGAGATTAAAAAGTTTAGTTAGATTGGGTAATTGTAACAAAAATGTGTTGACTTCTCTAAACTATCCTCTTTAACTATGTGTATTATTAACTATCTATTAGTGAAAATCTCTTACAAGTTACAATCAATAGGGATAGTTTAGAGAAAACATTATAAATTTTAGGGACAAAATGGATTGAAGTCTATATTATTTATAGTCCTTAATACAAAAGCTAGATAACTTATTTGTAAATAAATTAGTTAAGTTAGTGATTTGAAATAAATAGGTATTTCTTTTCTAAAATACTCTTGTTAATCATGTGTATTGGAACCTCTCTTTCATGGAACCTTTAACATATGCAATCATCATAGAGACTACTTCATGAAAAAATGGATAAATATAAGGGACAAAGTGGATTGGAATCTTATATTTTCAATCAAATTGAATTATCAACTAGCTCTTGTATTAAGGATAGGAGATAGCATCATTAGTTAGAACTCACAACTTCTTCCTTACAATTGCATCACTCCTTATTGAATGCTATTGTTATATGTGTGATTTCACTTGTTAGTTTTGGCGGAGAGAAGCAACGGTCTTGAAGCAACAACTGCAACACTTGCAGGAATTGCACAGGTACAAAAGGTTAATCTCACAGGAAAGTGCTATGAACAAAGCAGTGCAACACAATGGTTTCAAAATTAAAGTGCAATATGTTCTGATTTTTTCCCTAGAATATATTCTGAAAATAAATGGGAAAATTTGGCAAACCACAAGTAACTTATTTCCTTTTGAAAAGGAAGGCAATTCATGGGTGAACAGATTTCTGGTCTGGGAATCATCGAGTTGAAAACTTTGGAAAATCAACTGGAGATGAGTTTAAAAAATGTCCAGATCAAGAAGGTATGATAGATCATTTCAACTCATATCTACACTCCATTTAACATGTCACCATTTATATATACAAGCAAATAAGGTAACCTGAACTTGATCATTAATTCGTCTGTAGGAGCAAATTTTAGCTGACAAGATTAAAGAGTTACAACACAAGGTAAGGTACTCAAGAAGTCTGCTTCTGATATTGCCATGTAAGAAAGGACTTCCCACATATTCCGACTAATTTATTAATGCTATTGCAAGAACATCAAATTCGCCAAGAAAATGTACAACTCTACAAAACCATAGAAGTCATTAGTAAAGAAAATTACAGGCGAAGGTAAGTTGATAAAAAACCATTTTAGTGAATTATAGGTCATGTAATTAATGTGCTACAGACGAAGAAGTTTGCCTTCAATTACACAGCAATCAAGGAGGGAAGATGAAGACATCATCTCTAGTGAGCCTGTACTATTTATTCAAAAGCTAAATGTTTCAAGTTTTCTTTCAAAGCTTTCATAGACTTGGTTTGTTTTTTTTGGCCACTTTCCTTAGATTTCTGAAGCAAGGGTTGTGAATGAGGAATACGGGAATCCTAATAATCCTACATGCACTATTCATCTCCAGCTGAGCCAACCACAGTCTCAATCTAGTGAATCACCAACCAAAGCAATGGAGCTGGGGTATATCTTATATATCCCTTGAAACTGAGTAAACATATATTGCTTATTCTTTAGAATTACAAATAATTGAGCTCTTGATTTTTATGACAGATTACAGCTGCTTTGGCACAACCTCTTTGACAATCTAGGATTCTCAACGCCATGCTGCCACCAACTTTCCTGTAAGAGGTGTTTCATCAGGAATCATTGCTGTCATTGTTAAGGATCAAACATATTATATCGGATGTGTCTCTGTAAATTTTAGACAATAACACTACCAAACGTGCCAAGTGTTGAATTATTTAGTATCCAGATTTGTTGTGATCAAATGATGGAATATGATCTGTCGATCTTTCAATGAAATAGCCATAAACACAAACCTCCCGTTTTCTCCTACCTTTTTTTGTTCCCCCCCCCCCCTTCCCTTTTTGGTGATATGTAAAAATTTCAAGTGTTTACTTCAGAACTGAGTGTAAACTAAGTGAATAAGCTGAATTAGCGTAAATCTCTATTCACATTCCCTCCATCCCTAATTTATTTATATTTTTAGTAAATGGCATAATTTTCTATCTTTATTGCTTATGGTTCTATTTTCCTATATTCAAACCATTTGACCATGTATGGAAATAATTCGATATATATACTCTCAAAAACATAATGGAAATTGAATTTCGTCAAATTAATAACATGAGTACTTAAGAATTGGTGACAATATAAACAATATACCAACTGATAATGTACAAAGACTTGAAGTTTAAATTAAACTTAATTATATTTTTGTAGTAACATATCAAACTAAATATATGTACTAGAAATGTAGATCATCATAATACTAAAATGAGCATTGTTTACTTCACCCGAGAAATAAATTTTCGGAGTGTCAATGTGAATGCACATGTGAGCAAATAAAAAATTATGCGTAGCAGTCAAGTTATTGCCAATCTACTTTTAGCTAATTAATTAAATAAATGAAATGGAAAGAGCTGGCCATTGTCGGCTATTCTTATTTAAATCATTATACTTGAATTGTTAATTTTCTGATTTGTCTTTTCTGTAAGTTAAAATATTTGAGGGCTTTGATTGTTTCAGGAACGACATCTTCGTCGTGATATAAGAACATTATCACATGGGTACGAAAAAGTTCATATCCAATTGAAAAGATGGGCTAAGCACTTATCATCCACAAATGAACATGGGACGGCAGTTATCAGAATTAGTTTTTCACTAATTGCAAGTTAACCTATCAACTATCGTCTTAAAAATTGCAACCTTCCATGTTCTGGACTCCGCAACCTCACAGGCTTTTGCAGTGTTAAGAATAATTTATTTGGTTTAATTTTTAGGGTTTTGGTTTGTAATTTAAGTGGGCAAGAATATTAACCATTTATTCTATATTGTTTGATTAGTTTCCATATCGTGAGTAAGGCTAAGGAGTTTTATGTTATTTCACATAGTGAAAATTAATTGTAACTAAGTCCTATAAGATTTGAATTTAGCTTTGCAAATTTTCAAGACTTATTTATAAATAATTTATTTTTATTATATATGTTAGGTCTACTAGAGACCCACGTCAGCAAAAATAAAAATGCTATGAGCCTATGACATAGGCTATGCACTATATTTTCGTACGGAACCAGTCTTAGCCATGTATATTCTTTTTCTATTGAAAATTTTAGCTGATTTTATTTTTAACATCCCCTTGCGTTGAACGAGGATTATTGTAAGGTTAAGAAAAAGACTGCCATAGTCATAGCATAGTTACCGGTGTTTGAGAAACCCTATATTCAAATAAAAAGGATTTTTTTATAGCTTATAAGCGAAGATAAAATTCTTCCTCTACATTATTTCACATATAGTACAAAATCATTTAAGAAAAACTATTCCAAATTTAATGAGACGAGAAAGCACAACTATAACCTCTTATTTTAGAGCCTAGGCCATGGAGTTGACCCGCTTGGGCCATGATCATGAGAAAATAGAGGCAGAGAGCAAGAGCACCTAGGCATTGGAATGAGGGCCTGGGTGCTCTGTCGCTCATAGCAAAACGATGTGCTTTTCACTAAACTGAAAAATTTTAGGGTTTGAAACATATATATCCTTTCGCTTTGACTTGGCCATCGTTCTGGTCTTTTTGGGTGCATTTGGAAGTCTTTTGTTCACGTAGAGTAGGAATTTTGGTGGAGATTGAGTTGGAGTTTGAAGATTTGGCTTCGCGTCTTGGTTCTTCTTCCATTCTCCTCTCTCCCTCTTGTTTAATGTTTGTGTTGAATTATATGCATTTTCTTATTGGTATTCTGAATATGTAGGGCCAAAGCTTTGATTCTAGAATTATTTTGAACTCTTACATGAATGAAGTCTTGATTACCTACTCCTCTCTACAATTAAAACGCAGGTATTTCGTAATACATCATTTCATATCCAAACATACATGTGAACCCAAGAAACAAAGAATGCAATTTCATTAAAAAAAAAATTGCATTATTTGTTTCTTGGGTAATGAAATTGCATTCTTTGTTTCTTGGGTTCACATGTGTGTTTGTGTCAAATAAATGTTTATATAATATAAAAATTCTATCAATAAAGCCATATATAATACTGTTTCACTCCTAAATATAAAACCCATTTTGTAGTGTAATTACACTACAAAATGAGCCTTATCTTCAGGACCGGAGGAGTATAAGCTATCTGTATTATGCTATATTTCATCAACATACCGCGTTACTGAATAAAAAATTAATCCTGTAACATAGATATTCGCAAATCTTCAGGCTGTAGCATAATTTCGTGCGGAATCATTCGTAGCCGTGTATCCTATTTTAAATATCAAACTGCTTTAACTAAGACTAAGAATTAATAATTATAGAAAGAAAGCACAACATGGGTTCACACGCATTGCAGGCTATTAAATGCAGTAGTAATGTGTGTGTGTGTGTGTGTGTGTGTGTGTGTGTGTGTTTTATGTGTGTAGTGGAAATAGTTGGCCAAAATAAATAATGTAGTGGAATCAAAAGGACTTTTCAGGAGAGAAGTGGTAATTAGTAATATTAATAACGATGTTAGTGATAATATATTTTACTGATACATTTTTTCGATGACATCATATATAAGAATCTTTTCTTTCTCTTCGCCATAAATTATATTACACACTCATCACGCGGACTCACAACCACACGCTTAATAAAACTTAATGTCATTTTTGCAAAGAAGCCCTGATGACATAATATTTAGATTGTCTCCTGGCATTCATTTTTATTTAGCAAAATGCAGATAGATACTTTTATGGTATCCTCTTATTGATAGCAATCTGGTTTAAGAAATTGTTGGGTGCTAAATGTGAGCATATCTCCTAATGAAGATTCAAGCATTGATTCAAAAAGTTGTGTGTGAATAGCTCCTTCTGCTAACCTGACCCTTTTGGTCTTTTAAAAAAACTTTTACTTCAATTAAAAAAAATCCAAAGGCTTGTGCAGTGGGGAACTTTATTTCTAAAGTAGGCAAGAATATAAGAACAATGCTAGCTTGGCAAACTAACTCCTTTTTATTAGATCTCAATACTGTCCAAATCTGACCATTAAAATCATATCAAAATGCTAGGATATCAAGTATAAATGCGGACTTGCCTTTATGTGAAAAGTCTCACATCAAACAGAATAAAGCTTAATAATACGTATAGATGTAGAATAATTCATAAACTTACATTCAGTACTAAAATTTAGTTCGGTATTCTTAAAAATCAATATTTTACTGTTTACGACAAATATATGATGCTTTTTTCTTGTGTACTTAATTTTTTACCCAAGAACGAATCTCTTATAAAGCTGGCAGGGGGGGGGGGAGAGAGAGGGTTACAATCTGGCCATGATAAGATAATTTTGGTGACTTATCAGAGGAAGGTTCAGGAATATAATAAGCCATCTTCGGGCCAGCACATGATTTGCAGATCAACTTGTATTTATCTATTTATATACATATGCAATTTAATTGATCTGATCAGATAAACTTGCTTACTGAATAATACTACCCAACCATGTAAGCCCATGAACCCTAGGATAAGGGATTGGGAACCTTCGGTGAATTAACGGGGATTTGTTAAGTAATTAATTCATCTCTCTCTCTCTCTTTTTCCTAGACACAAATATTCGGTAATTTTTTTGAGGCACTGTTAGGTGCACTAAATGTGGAATCTCTCCTAGCATGAACTTGAACATCGGCTCGCTACATTGTAAGAGACTAGTCCTTTTCATTAAGTCCAACCCCCATTGGTTAATTAATTCATATCTCCAATGAGTTGATTAAACCATAGATTGAAGGGATACTGGTTTAAAGGAGGAATTGGAACTGTATAGATTAATTATAGCTCTATGCTCTAATTATGGTGGCTTTAAAAGTAACTCTGGCTAGGAACTACTTGTTGTTTTCAATATTTTGGGAACTTGGACTGAAGTTTTGGTGTCGTCCTTTATTAGTTTTGAACTAGAATTCTGAATTGTGTATTTCCTTGACTTTTTGGATTGTGGTAGTTATAATAAAATATGTTCATTGACGTGAGCAATTTGAATCTCGCTACTCTTCTTTTCCCTTCTAGTTTGCTGCCCTTGTTTTAACCCCAAAACTGCTTCCTTTTGGATACTCATCCAGTACTCTAAAATATTTTTTTAATAATATTTAATATCATAAAGTAATTGTTAGTACACCCGGCATTCTAAAATAATTCTCTAGTAGTATCCAATGTTTTAAAATGAGTGTTAATATGTTCAATATCCTAAAATATTTTTTATTAGTTTTATTTCTAAAAGTAATTTTAGTAAACATGAGTATGATTATAGCTCACCTCCATGATACTCCCTCCGTCCCTTATTATAAGATCCACGTAACTATGAGTACATAGTTTAGGATAACTGTTAAAATTAGTTAAAAGTAATAAATATATTATAAATATGCTTTTTTTTTCTCAGATATGTCCTTATTTATAAAGAGATACTCCTTTGGTCCTATTTATAGGATAGAGAGAAATTTTTTTGGTCCTATTTATAAGTTGCTTTATTAAATTTTCAATGTGAATGTACTATTTTGTCCTTTATTTATTATAGTATACGTAGTTATTTCTTTTTGAAAGATGTATATATTAAATATGGGTAAAGTTAGAAAATTGTTATATTTTAATGGAGAGTTAAGGCATTTTAAGGTTTTTCTTGGTCTGTGCAAAATATACTGAAAGTGCCTTATAAATAGGACCAGAGGAGTAGGTGTGAGTAAGGAAAAAAATGACAGAATGTATGGGAAAGAGATAATGAGAGAGTAAATTAATTAATGGTGAAGTGAATAAAAATACATTTATTGTTTAGACAAACCAAAAAGAAATCTTAAAAATAAGGACAAACCAATTCAAAAAATTAGATATTATAATAAGGGATGGAGGATTATACCTGTATGGTAGGTTAATTTGTCATAATTACATTATCACCCATTTA